AAAAAGGCAAAATCAGCAGGAAAAAACATTGAACAGGCTTTACAAAGATATTTGTTCGACTACCGAATTGCAGAACACAGTAATACAGGGTGCAGTCCTGCAGTAATGATGTTCGGTAGAAACATTAAAACACGATTAGACCTTATTCGACCTTCACAAAAGGTATTGAGCGAAACCAAAATCCAAAAACAAATTGATAGTTATGGAGGTAAACAAAAACATTTATCAATAGGTGAAAAGGTATTTGTAAAAGAATTTTCTAATACCAGTGAACCGAAATGGGTGCCCGCGGAAATTTCAAATAGACATGGTAACGTTACTTTTGACGTAAATGTGGGAGAGGGAAAGGTTATTCGCAGGCATTCGAATCAAATTAGAAAACGCTCATCTTTGGTCGCGCACCCTGAATCAACCGAACAAAAACTTAACGTTGATGAAGTTAGGAATCAGGATAATGTTCAGGAAAATGTAACAAACACAAAAAAATGTAAGTGTACACAGGGAACATGTACTCGAAAACTTAGATAACGAAAATGATGGTAGTAGTTCTTTTGAACGCCCTAAATTTATCTGTCCAAATAGGGAAGATGTAGCCGAACATTCGGGTAACGAAGAAATTAGTGCTTCTAGGTATAACTTACGTGAACGTAATAATTTGTGATTTTGGGTCAACTCAATATTTAGATTGTTTAATCATTTGTTTTTTTTTTTTTTTTGATTTGAAAGTTGAGATAATTATTGTATTTTGTGGGGGGTTTGTCAAATTGAATGTTTATTTCCTATATTATGACATTTACTATGAATAAGATGTTTGCTTAGGAATATTGATTAGATACAGTTAGGTTAACGTTGGTGAGGGGTAGTTTGTAGTTTCTAATAAGGTGAAAGGAACTGTTGTAAATTGTGAGAGTACGCGATATCAGTTAAATATCACCACCCGGTATATTCTAAATACGATTCCTCAGGCGATCAACGCCTGGTAACTTTTTATCATGTTATTTTTCACTGAACCACTTTTTGTACGGGACATACATTGTTGAAGACGATAAATAAAATAGTTGAAATTTAGCCGGTGTTTGAATGACACAAAATTAATAAATAATTAAATGAATGTAACATATCACTGAGAATTCACGATGAAGGCAGGTGAACGCTGTCAATGACGATCTTGCTGGAATGAAAGTCTAAGGAACCAACAATCTAGTTGAATTCTCACCACCAGAACTCGAGCTTGTATTCTCTCAGAAACGCGGAACCCAGTATGCCTTCAATAACAATGTCTGTCACCACCATTTCCACTGAGACCATATCTGATATCTGGTAGACGTCTATTTTTGCTCGAAGTGAAGTAGAATTCTTTATAGTAAGAAAGGAACTTTCAAAGAAATTTCAGATTAATACAAGTTCAACTTCAGCTCGATTCAGAAATCACTACTAGCAGAGACATGGTCATAATACATTTAACATTTTCAGATCTTATTTGATATCAAAATCGTGTTCAACTTTGAAAATATGATTCGCAAAAGCTTGATGCATATGTGGTCGTCAGTGAATTCACTGATTGAGTGCATTCTCAACTAAAACTAGATATTTCATCAAGTTTTTCCATTAATGAGAATGTTTATCTCACATTGACCTGAATCAAATTGTCAGGACAGAAGAAAAATCATCAAATCTTGGTATCATGTACAGTGGTGTACCACAAGGATCTGTACTAGGCCCAGTTCTCTTATATATACATTGATGATAATTATACCATCTGATAACATTAGTGGAACATTCACGATCTTTGCTGACGATACAACACTCTTGTGGAATAACCGTGATGTGAATAACTTGAATAGGATTGTTACCGATGACCTGATAATGGTTAAGGAATGGTGCGGCTGTAACATGCTTTCACTGAATTTCTCCAAAACTCATCCACTGACATTCGAATACTAGATGATGTATTGGGCACACAGGTTAATATTGAAAACAAATTTAACTGCAAGTTTTTTGCGCTGCATATTGATGAGTAATCAGAATTTGATATTCATGTGATGAACTTGAATGAGAAATCAGCATCGGGTTGCTATACTGTCAGTGAAGTTGCTAATGTTTGTTGCAAGGATGGTGTATCATCCCTTAATGAAGTTGCATTCACGGTATGGCATTACTTTCTGGGGTATCTGTAGCCATGATTTATCAAATTCTTTGTTCGTACTCCGGAAGAAGGCTATACGATATATGTGAAACAGTAAGTTTCACGACCATTGCAAGCCCTTGTTTCAAGCATATAAAATCCTCACGTTACATTGTATTTTCATATTGAAAACGGTATGTTTGATACGAAAGAAATATTCGGAAAACGTACATGCTAATGCACAACATCACACACGACAAGCATCCAACTTGCCCTTACTAATACCTGATTCCAATCTCACGAGGCATTCAATCATTCACAACGGTAAGGAAATGTATGATCATTTTCCATCGACCTTGGGAAATGTACCTCTTATCAATAAATTCAGACAAGCAGTAAATGAGCAATTTCCAAAAAAGGCATATTATAATATCCAGGAATTTTCTGAAGATAGATCTGATAGTTTAGAGAAGTAGTAAACTGTCAATTCAAATCTTACTTATATCATCTATGAATGACTATCATAATATATTTATGTCTATCTTGATAATTTAATTCTATACGTTGTTCTGTGCACTGATATATTGTTTGTTGTTCTTCAATTATCCACATTTCGTCCACTAATACATTGTCATATCGTCGTCCTAATTTCAAAACCTCGTAAGTCAATTCAGAAAGTTTTCACAGGAGACACTAAAAACTACTTCATTCAACAGAATAATGTATTTGAGCAAGGAATTATGCAGAGATGCTTCATTTTTCATCTACTGAGGTACCAATTCATTGTTTTTTGACAAAAATTGTCTATTTTTTCAATGAATTGACTAACGAGGTTTTTAAATCGGAAAGTGCCTGAAAGTTATGACTTACGAGTATTTGAATCGATTCGGAATAGGATGTTAGTAGATGTATTGAATGAAAAAACAACAGTTAAAGGAAAAAACTTTTCTAATAATAAATGCAGAACACATTTTTGTAACTAAGCCTCAGCCTAAGAATCTTTGTGTGGCAGCTGATCGTAGAATAGATGGTAGTCTTTTTCAAGAACACCTTTCAATGCCTGCAAATTCTCGAACTTTTTCTTATCTATCTTCAAGGGCTCCTTATACAGATTGGGTATATCTGCTAGACCGTTCTCATTTCTTTTTCTAGGTAGTACCTTCCAATCATCACTATAATTGAGTTTGTACTCTATTATACCCGTTGGATTGTATTTCAGGCATCGGATAGATGTGACCTGTGGATCACCTTTTTTGAATCCAGGACGTATAGCATTATGAAAAGACAAGCAAGAATATTTTTTGAAAAAGTCGAAATGGAGATATTTCACATTATATGGTCTAGGCTTATGTCTAGCAGATCTACGAACAGAAACATACCCAGCTGGAGTGTATATCTCAGTGTTGCGGAGTTTCCTTTCAATAACAGAATACATGGAATCACACTCCATCTGGGTATGTCCCTTCTCTAAATATTTCTGCATGATTGTTATTTTCTTGGTCATACTGCACAGTAATAACGTGTTCCTAATAATGGTGTTGCGATTCTGATAAGTACAACCGTCACTGTATATTATCACCTCATCGCCCTGTACAGTATCCAGATCAGAAATGAAAGAGTGCATTATGAAGGCAAACTCGTTGGCAGTTAGAGAACCTTCGCCTTCATGCCATTAGAAACAATATCCATCTAGGCTTTTCAAATCGAAAATTGTGAAGTTACGTACTACAAGCTTACTTTTGTAGTACATTGCTGAGGCATTGGTCATTGGAGCCATGAGTACGCTCTGGAGGTCTACTGTGAAAACCCATTTTTTCTCCATTTTATCTCTAGTTTTTTCATCTCGAGCAGCAACTTTCTTCTCCAAATGCTCATTATAAACTGATTCATTGATATTTTTAGTTTTAAACCCAAGACAAACATCACATTGATCTTTTTTGGGTTCAAATAAACTATAGTTCATGTCAGAAAATGCATGGGTGAATGAAGCAATTGATAATGCTGATATTCCCTTTTCCTCACATTCATTTTTGTAAAAATTGTATAGCTGATTCTTCGATTTCCAAATAGTTTCCTGATATTTTTTGTTGGATGACGATCGGCAGTAATGCGACTCCAGATTCGGAAGGCTATTCAAACAACTTTTCATAAACTCGGTTTCAGGTGCCTTAACATAGTTCTTTCTCAATTGAAGGCTCACCTCCCTTTCATTATTGCATGCAGTTTGATTTTCTTTATTCTTTTTTTTTTCAGCTCTATTTTCCTCATTGTTCTGTACTTTCTTAGGGTCTCCAACCTCCTCATCATTATGGATGTTATTGCTTTTGATCAAGTTCAATACAGACCATTCCCCTATGCGAAGTGTGTTCAAAAATTGTTTTTTACATACTCTCACTTTGCTACCCCCAGGTACCTTCAAGAAAAAAAATAGAGAGTTCTTTCTACGAGAACTTGAAGATTCCGATTTCTTTTGTTTCACTGGTTTCAAATCTACTAAGCTATTCACATATTCCCTTTTTTCTGCCCAAGATTTTGACCAGAAATATTGAAATATGATCTGCCTATCCGTGTCTGTTATTTGTTGACAATGAATCTTTGATTTCTTCTTACTCTGAGCACATGAACATGGTGGCTTCAATCGCCTTGCACTTCTTTCTTTGTTGAAAACCCATTTTCCATTTTCCTTGATAAGTCCTTTATATTCTTCACCTTTGCTTCTCTTTATTTTTTTGCTGGAAAACGTCCCATTCTTCTCTGTTCACATGTCTTCTCTTTTTTCTGGTTCTTCTGAGAACTTCTGGTGTTCCAGTTTGTTCTTCTTCTTCAGTTCTTCTACCAACAATATCGTCTGTGATTTCCATCTCTTCTGACTTACTTCCATCTCTACTACTCACATCAGAAAGATTTTCTTCTTCATCGTCCCTCCAGTCTGGAACAGATAGTTCATCGACGACATTTTCGACTGTTGGTTTATTCATGTCCCCAATCATTTCAAATTTATTATCTGTTTTTTTCAGATTGTCATCAAACGCAGCAAGTTGGGCAGTGCCTGTATCTTCTCCAGCATAATCATAAGAACACCCTTCACCACTCTCCTGATTTGCAGCCAGAATGGCTTTGCTATTCACACTTTGCGGATCATTATGATTTTGTACACTAGATAATATCTCAGATTCATCTTCGATACATTCATTTTCGATTTTCTTCTCGAAGTGGATGGCATACTGGATTATTTCTTCATCAAGATTCCAATCAGTCTCTGAAACTCCTGAAGAGGTTTTATCGTCAATAATGTTCTCCTTTTTGGATGTGTCGATACTTTCAGGCCGTTCTGTATTTCCAGAAGATTCTTCCATAATTCTTTTGGCGTTGATTTCTTCCGTCATCTGTATTATTTTTGCAGATCTCGAAAGTTTCGGAGGTTTTCCAATCTGTGACATTTTGCTACAAAAAAAAGGTAATAGGTAATATAGATACTAACTCAAATAGTCGTAAGTCTCTTGTTTGAGTATATTCACAATTATTGTATAATTTTAAAAACTCGTAACTCTCAACTGTGGAAACTAAGGTTGATTACAATCAAGAACTTGAAGAAATCAAACATATTATCCTCATCAAAACAATTTCGCTACTTTACTTTCACGAGGATATGAAAATATCTACCATATATCTACTATTTCTTACCGTGATTGCAATATCTCTGGAGGTCACCACGATGCACGATCATCCGCCATCACAAAAATGAGACATACGAGGTTTTGATATTGACTGAACGCATGCGTGACATACGTGGTTTCATTAAATCCGAACAGATGGCGTTGGGTTTCTAATAGAGTTACGAGGTTTAGCAGGGACTTAGATATCAGTAAACTCAATCATGATGAAGCGGAATCTGAATTCCGGTAATTCTTGGACTTACCAGGTTTTAAAATTAGGCCGACGATATAGTTTTTTTACTGATATTCTGACATATCTCGTTATCATTTTAAGAGTGAAAATGACGTATTGATATTTGAATTCATGATATATCGTTATAACAGGGTTTCTATGCTAGAAGTATAGGTATGCTATGTGATCACTAACTTTTCTCAATAAGAAATTCTTCTTTGACAATAAAGTATATTCCTGATTCTTATTCTGATTATAACAAATTTGATTGAATTGGCTTCTGTATTGAAATGTTGCCTAGTCAAGTAGGGTGGAATTTCAACCCAATCGGTCGTGGACCGGAATTGACACATTATTGCTTGGACCTGGAGTGAGATTTCACTCATTTTTTCTTTCAGTGTATTAGTATTGAACTCATCTAGAATGGAATAGAAATTGTAAGATTTGTCTATGGTCTCCACATGCTCCATAACTCCCATTGAAATCCCTATACCGCGTATGATAAGTAAAAATTTGTCATACATACAAAAAAATCTGAAATTTTTGCCAGGACTCCGCTTTTTGAAAATCTATGATCATGAATGTGAACTCGAAACAATTTCATGTAGATGTGAGAAAATGTTGGAGGGACAGGAATATATAATATATCAAAGCATATAACTTGATGAAAATTTGACATGGAAAGTCCATGAACACTATGTAATCAGTTGAATAGGGAAATCTATCCTTAGGTTGTTTTATAAGCTACGGCATATTTCGAAACTAGAAACCTCAGGAACAGTTTATTTGGCACTAGTATAAAAACTGTAATCAGTTAGGGGCTAATAGTATGGGGCGAAGCTCGAAAGAATACAGTGACACCTCTATATGTGTAAGGGTTGCTGGGCTGTGTGCACGTGAATATATACAAGGAAAGATTTGTATCCGTCAGAGTTCAGGACAGAACAGAAGATGCACTTTCTTTAATGTCCCAGCAAAATCAGGTTTGAATGTATGTACATAAAGGGTAAGTTGAATTCTTATTCATTGTTAATCATAAAACGAACAATAATTGTGTGTATATGTGTGTATAGGTTTTTGATTGTCGCTGATGACAATGTATATGCAGTGTATTAGGATACTGTGCTATAATATGACCCAAAATGGGCACTAGCTAGATGATGATATGGAAGTGAGTGTTTTGTTGAACCCAGAGAGGTTATTGAGTTGTTGACCAAATGAGTCAAAGATATTTCCGCAGACGACTTGATCAGTGCAAGAGTCACTATGGATACCGCACCATCACCCTGTATCATTCAATACCTGTCGAGGCAAATAGCCAGTCGTTTCAGAAAATGGTCCGGAATAGTCGAATTGTATAGCAAGAAAAAAGAGTTTTATGTGATATAATTAAGTTATTGATAGTATTGAATTTATGGAGAATCGGAGTTTGTCAAGGTACACTGATGGTTTGTACAATGAAAGTTGTGCTGTAATATGCAAAAGTAGGCCTATCGATAGTCAGGAATGCTCAAAGGTTTGATCGAAAGAATAGGGTATTTGACGAATGTTTTAATAATCAGAGTAGGGATCAGAGAATCTATAAAGCTGACGAAAAAGCACGAAGTTATAGTACAAAAAGTTTACGTTGAGGATATTGAGAAAAATGAGTACCCATATAAAAAAGAGTACCTCGTTAAGGTGACGAGATATGTCGAACACTGTGGAGAATTGAAAGCCGAAGTCGAAAGAGAGGTAGATCAGCGAACATTGAGCATGTTGATAGCTATATAGCAGAAAAGAGTCCTTTTTTTTTCAGATAGATTATTTTTGAGAAAAATTATAGTCATGTAACATTAGAATAATCAAATTTTTAGTATGTTCCAGAGGAGAAGGAATCAATCATATAAACACTACAGGAGAATAACAGGAGATACGGAAGTGATGAAAATATTTGGAAAGAAGAGAAAATAAAAAAAATGTGGGGAACAGAAAGAGAAAATTTCGACAGCCGCCAGAAAACAAAATCAAGGTATAAGTGAAATAGTTATCGAGCATCAAAGTGAGTATTTCATTTGGAAAAAAAATAGAAGGACGTTGTTTCATAAAGCTAATTGAGAAATTGCGATATAAGTAGTTTGGAAAATCATGATTATAAACTCATTTGAAATGTCAACATAAATCCGACTTTATCTGAATGTTTTAACAAAACATCGACATGGATCACCAAATGATACAATAATAAATTGTAATATATTTATATTACGAAGAATAATAGTATACATTTAGATATTTTTCAATATGATTAGCAAGGTGATACTTAGTTTATTAGAAAAAACTGATCTTGTTGACGAATTGAAGGAGTCAATATTATTGCTATTGAACTCGGATTGCAAAAAATGAATATATATCAGTCAGATGTGTAAGCAGTAGTGTTCTATAATTTTAGACGAATAATTTTTCTTCATCAAACTCAGCAAGAATATTTGACTGATGATGAGTTCAATTATATATATTTGGATTTTTTTTTGTTATGCTGCAATAAAATCATTTCTTGTTCTACATGTGGCCCCACACTCAAGAATAGACAAACTATCGAGGAAGTTATAATGAATCTATTGAGAGGTCTGGGGTCCATACAAAGCCTAACACTACCGTTTTTTTTCTCTCTCACTATTATTGTATTCACCCAATCGATTGCCACTTCAGCTTTTGTAATTATTCCTTGGGTTTCTCATTTATCTAAACTATCTTTAACTTTTTCATTCAGAGCAAAAGGCACTTTACATCTACTTTTATGAGGAATTGCATCACTTTGTATACGTATAGTGCAAGGTTTCCCAAAACACCCCAGTCCTTTGAAAACATCTGAATATTTAGATATTATAAATTTTGCAGATGTTATATCTTCTTTGGCGTTGACATTTTGACGATCATCAATATTATATATTCTTCTGATCAAATTCAAATCTACACATGCTTTCAAGCCTAAGATTGTTTCATATCTTTCTTTAAGAATATGAAAATCTGAATCTTACGTTGAACTTTTGTAGTTCGCAGTCAATTTACAGACTCCTAGAAGATTCAACCTATTTTTGTTATATACTGATAGTGATTTTTCTGTATTTCTAATATCAGGCATCCTGGCTTATTTATTATAAATATGGAAAGGTAATATATTAGCTTCACTTCATGTATCTAATTTGAACTTGATTTTAGTATCATTTATGGAAATTTCTCCTGTTCATCCTTTAGAATTGTCATGTGAAACATTACATATTTTATAGATGTTCTGGTTCACCTCTACTATAGAGCCTAGCTCTAGAAAATCATTTCCATGATTTCTACTATCATTATCAGTTTCATCATCAGTCAAATCCTCACATCCTACCTGATTCACCTTGTTAACTTTACAACATGAAGAAAAATGATACATTTTTTGACATTTTTTACATATCTTTCCCCAGGCAGGACATTTTCCATAGCTATGTGAAGTCTGACAACGATAACATAGTTTCTGTTGAATCCCATCTCTTGTAGATCGGCCTTCATTTCTTATGAAATTTTCATCTCCTGTATAAATTTTTCTTCTCTCTCCTTGAATTTTCTTATTACTGCTGGCAAAATTCATTCTTTCCACGCTTGAATTGTTTGGAGTTCTTGCAGATATAATTTTTACTCGTTTTCTTGATTCTTCATCAGTTCTGCATATATCCAGACATTTCGGCAAAGTCAAATTCCTTACTCCTATCAGCTTCTCTCTGAGATTATCTGATAAGATTCCACATATCATTCTATCGCGTATGAGTGAATCATGTAAGTAACCATATCCACAATCAGCAGCTTTCTGTTTCAAGAGAGTAACATATTAGTCCATTGACTGATTTTCATTCTGATTGCAGGTGAAGAAAAGGAACTGTTACTCCAATAAATAAAGGGGAAGAGTTAACATTAATTACGCACTATTTTCATCTTCCGGTTGGAAGTAGCTTTTGGTACCTCATTAAACTTGAGACAAAGTTTGACTGGAAAACGCGTGCGATGGCGGAGAAAGTGGCCCCAAAAGACCAGAAAAATATGTTTTCAGCCGATATCTCCTAAAATATGGCAGTTAGAGATTTTCGGTTCGGATAAAAATTGAAGTTCAGTTAATTTTCTACAAAAATGGTTCCCATCATTTTTCTCGAAAATTTGCCCGGTTTCGAGAAAAACGGCAAGAAGCGCACCTCGAATAATGAGCATCTGTTGCATGCCGGAGAGCACAGTCTGTGTATTTACACATCGGCGGGGGGACAAATTATTCAATAACTTTGTTGAAAATGCATATTTTCTCATGATTCAAATTTCATGTGAAGGAGGAATTCTGCTGCTATCATACCCTGTGAATTGAGTCACGCTTGACTCTTTTGGCCATATCGGAACATGGGTCAAACTTTCTGCTCCCGGTCAATTTTGACCGCGCCAGGAATTTCTTTCTATTTTATTATATTGCACTAATTTACTCAAAATTCTCTTGATTATGGGTCCTCATAAGGTCCTTTGTCATCCCTGGAATTTGTATACCCTATTTTTTTTTAATTTTCATTCAATCTTTGTTCATTGAATCCCAATCTTGTGCTGTTTTTGGAGCGCAGGAAAATTTTGTGAACAACCATCAATTGAAAATTCATACATGATCCGATTGGTTTCTATGATTCATCATTTGAAAGCTGAGAAGGTCTACTTTTCGATTGTGTAATTACTGTTTTAGACGAAGTCGTCCATTTTTCAATGAAATTAGAAAAAGCGGGGTCAAGGAAAAAACGCACTTTTTTTTTCGGTGTTTTTTTTCTCCGGGCTCTCAATTTCTAACATTTCAACACCTTAACTAGTGTAACGGGGGAAATCCCACCTTTCCATCGATGTCAAACCTTCGATATCCCGGGAAAAAACCAGTATATCTAAATGTACACGCTATAATTCATTACTTTCGTTCCTCCATCGTTCGCCGCGTGTGTGCTCTACGTGGCGTTCGGGTCGTCTGCTACAAACCATGCGGCCACGCAGGGTATGATAGCAGCAGAATTCCTCTTCCACATGAACTTTGAATCATGAGAAGATATGCATTTTTAACAAAGTTATTGAATAATTTGTCCCCCCGCCGATGTGTGAATACACGGAATGTGCTCTCCGGCATACAACACAGAAGCTCATTATTCGAGGTGCTCTTCGTGCCGTTTTTCTCGAAACCGGGCAAATTTTCGAAAAAAATGATAAGGACCATTTCTGTAGAAAATTAACTGAACTTCAATTTTTATCTGAACCGAAAATCTCTAACTGCCATATTTTAGAAGATATTGGCTGAAAACCTATTTTTCTGGTCTTTTGGGGCCATTTTCTCCGCCATCGCACGCGTTTTCCAGTCAAACTTTGTCTCAAGTTTACGGTACCAAAAGCTACTTCCAACCGGAAGATGAAAATAGTGCGTGATTAACGTTAACTTTGCCTTTTTTTCCTCCTTCATTTATTGGACTACGTAGATATGTTTCATTTTTATATGGTTCAAAATATCCAGACAGCTTTTTCAATATGACTCTGAAAGTCAATTGATCATTTCTTTCTATGAATGTGAGTGTGTTGTACACATCTAATCCAAAATCACCAAGAATGTGGAGGAATGTAGCTCTTTGTTTTGCTACCAGAGCTTTATCCATTTCTGAAGCAATCCAAAATAATTCCACTTTCTGTTTCCATTTCGTCCTTCAGCTGGATCTGTCCCGGGTATGAATTCTTTTGGTGCTTGAAGATATGCCATTTTCTTTCTAATTCACGTTGGGTTCTATACTCGTCTAGCTGCCACCATGTGATATGTTCAGAATATATATTATTTATTAACTTTAATTAATGAACATAGAATGAAGAATAATTATATTTTATAAAATTATTACAGTTCTTGATTGACAATCCAATCAATAATCATCACCTTAGTATTATTATAATACCGTATCATGTAACAGAAGGTAGTATATCAATTGGAATCTTGGAAGGATAGACTCATCCGACCATTTTTAACGACGGGGGCCGTCGTTTCCAGAGGAGAAGCATGTCACAAATGAGGAGATATTTCAAGCCAAATTCCAAAATTTTCATGGAATCATATCGGTTCAAAGTCATTGAACGGTCACGTCTGTGTTTATTATTCACAAAATTATCAAATCACGAACTTCCGATTAGTAGTTGAACATAAACACAGGCATGGCATTGACGAACCAGGAATATCCACCTGACTTTCCCACTGTTACGTTTCCAAAATATAGATCGAACAAATAAAAGACGTGAGGATGCCAGCACAGGTATCATTCGATCATTCAATCATTCGACTCGATCGATCATTTACCACTGTGCCCGAACCTTCGGAGTTCGTGACAGAACAGAAGATGCTCTTCCTCTGAAGTTCCATCAATATTAGCTTACAATGTTCATAAAGGGTAAGTTGAGTTTTCGATTATTGTTAATCATTAAACAAAGAATAAATGAATGTAAATCTTTTGTTGAAACTCTTTGGAGTATTCTCTATAATCATCACTTCCAAAAGTTCATTCTCTAATGAATCAAGAACACAACTTAGGCAACTTCCGCCAACAGTTCGTGACAGTATTACGAAGCGAGCACAGGTTTTTCGAAGCTGCAAACTTGTGTTCATACTATCTCAACTGGTCCAAGCAATATATCAGAATATAATAACTCTATCACTTGAGAGAATGGAATGATTAGCATAGGTATAATGATGTAGAAAGCATCCGAGATAAGATAACGTTACACTGGTGCATCATTACTATGATGAAAATCGCACAGGTTCGAATCTCTTTCTTCAGCAGGGTTGAAATATTCTCCCAATGCGGGAGTATATGATAAAAAAGGGGTTCATTGAAGAGGATGATGGATTTCAATTATCATTCCATGTGAGAATAAATTCATTTTATTTTGAAACAATATTGTAAGTGACGAGGATAAACTGTGATACATATTTTTATGCATGTCTCATACCCTCCTGCTCTTGGACTACCTTGTGGAATTTTATCAGCTAGATATTTGGTACACTTTCTTGTATCTTACTAACATCAAATAGTCATAAAACATCGTGAGTTCTCATAATAATGTGCTTTTCTTGTGAAATGGAACACTTGCAACCAATATCCGTTGATACAAATCGTTCTATAGATCACTGGAGGATGGAATTCAACGTTCTACATAGCGTGAGTTAGGATAGCAGTTGTTCTCTTTTCGCAATGATAGTCGATCTATCATTGTTCTGGATCATTGATGGAAATGATTTTGGAATTTCTCAAAATTCTGTTATTTTTCCTTTGATACAAGTCAATATCGAATGATTATTTCCCTTGGTGGAATGGAATGGAATGGAATGGATTTGTCAATGATTTGGCGAGAATATCATCAAAGTGACATAAAAATTGATGAGAACTCGTGAATGTTTTTTTGAGACTTTGTTTTCCAAGTGGTTCATATAGCTGATAGAACCGATTATTTTCATCACGTATATCCGGATTGTCCTAAGTCCCGAATCCATCATAAGGTGTATGAAAATTTTCATTGGTAACGGTACCTATCTTTGTCTATTTTTAGATCATCTTGACGCACGGGAAAGGGCTAGCAAGATTCAGGTGAATTTTTCTGATTCATGCAACTTATTAACAACTTATTAACAAGAACAACCATAATATAGTACGAACGCGAAGAACTGAAATCGATTCTCTTGTGGAGAAAAAACAGCAGTGTGACCATATTTACATAAAATTCTGAACTGATTGATACGGTATGTTACGTTCATGCAGTAGCTTCATCGATTCTAATTCTCGTAACCTAACATCGAATTGCCCAATACTAATATAGTTGCGGCCCCAATTAATTGGATTCATCTAATCACAGTCCAGTTGACCATATTTTATTTCAGAGAGTATGTGCAATATCTACTTTGGAATTCTGTTAGAATTGCGATGATAATTTCCAACCATTCTGAATGATTGGGTTCCATCTCCTCATTTTCTGGGTGTATTATCCTCCAATATTATAATCATAGTAAACCATATTTGGATAAGAGAAATCATATTTTTGAAAACAATTTCAGAATTCAACATGTACAGAATGAAGAAATGAATTTCAATTATGTGGAATCATTATGAATCATTGATCGCGAAATTTAGGCCTTGAACAACTCTCCGCATTCGTATTCTTTCTGTGAGGAAGTTAAATTTGCATCACAACAACTCATTTCGTCAAACCCAAATTTGACGTATTGGGTTGAGCATCTGTGTGAAAACGCCTTATTTGTGACTGAACCAGAAGTTATTCATCATCTTTGTCCTCGAAAACTTTATAATTTCATTTGTTCTGGGCAATGTGAATTTTTGGTAGCTATCATATTGTCTGGAATATGTTGTAGTCAGTTGGTTTCCCAAATTGATCACCCTGTATGTTGATATTTTCCCAGACTGTTATTACGTTGAAGTTTGGCTTGCGTGTGGTTGGTTGTTTTCGAAATATAAGATGAAATAGCTAACAATAAATGTTCGTCAACTCCTTACAAAACTATTGGAGGTGTTCAAACTGTGAACTTGGTTTTTGGCATGTAGAAGAAAGTCTTTTATTGGACATTCTTCATCAGTTTTTCGAAAACCACATCGAATAATAAAATAATAATTAATATTTTTATCAATCATCAATCTTATATTTCTACAACGCCCATTCTTATATGAACCAAACTCCATATCGAAATGTAAGTTAAAAGAACAACTATCTGAAAAACTTTTGACTGCGCCATGATCACAAGAATATGATAACAAATAAAAATCAACATGGGAACTGAAAAAATTATTGAAGTCGTGATAGAGGAATAATCACTTCCGGTTCAGCCAAAAATTTGGTATTTCCAACCGATAGCCCAACCCTCACCAATATCAAGGATTATTTACACTGTGCGCAGGTCATTCAAACTATTCAATACTATTCATATCAGTTAATATAAGATGAGTTTGGCAATCTAGTGTTACGTTAATTGAATCAACGGGTCTCTCAATTGGAGAATCGTCTAAGTAAGCTGAATATATCCTGTTGAATAAAGTTTTCATAGAAGTAAGAAAAATATTCACATCCATTCGAATTTCTTGAGTAGGTACTTACTTCTTCACTTGTATGTGCATCTGTACAAGAACGACAATCTCTTCATACATTGCTTCCTGATATCCAACTTCATCCATTTTTTGCATGGACAATTTTCCTAATCTGATGACATAATGATTGAGCATATGGTACTGAAACTGTATTTGACTCATAATATACTGGCAAAAGTTCAGATTTATAACACCGGAGAAAACCGATGTCACTGCCATCAAATAGTATGGTATCATAAAAACAATTTTCCACTTCCCACAATATTCGTCTATCAAGAATAACGGTGCTTGCCATACTTTATCTTCTTCTTCAAATGGAGCTGCTGCTGTTAGCATACATGTGAACACGTTGATGGATGTTATAACATACAGGATTTTGAGAAATTTACATGATTTCAATATCCTTGAATGGGTTTTTCTTCCACCAGATTTATAGCACCATCCATGCTCCTTCACAATGGTCGGATATCGTATTATCCATTTATGTGTCACAATCACAAACATATTTGATAGAAGCCCCTGAAATATAAAAACAGAAATTTGATGTTATAACCCTTAAACGTGAGAAATTTAGAAATTCCAGGTTACACTGTGCGAACGGTCAGCTCAAATAGTCGGGGCAAATGGGTCGTGGTTCATTTACTTACCATATCATGTAACTTTGTCAAAAATATAACAATGAGAAAGATAGTTCCACCAGATACGATTTTATTTGGACGCCATCTACAGAAAATAAAGTTCAACAAACCTCTTTCTTAAGCCAATCCCTGTAGAAAGAAATTGTCTGTGCTGAAGGATAGGAAAACAAATCAAACAAATAAAATTTAGGTTCATTTACTGACTAAAATGGGTATTCGAAGGAGTATTAAATCTGCATCACAAACATTTATCATATGTGTCACAAATAAATTCGACAGCACCTGAAATGCAACTAGGTGTGCATATTTATTATACAGGGTGTTAAATAAACGTTCTTCTATCAGTGAAACTTGACACAATGATCATCAGCTTTGAATAAATCTAATCAATGAAATCAATGGAATGAATATTCCCCAGATATAATGCATTACACCTTCACAGATATAGGAATATCGAATAATGATTTATCAATTGTACTAGATTCCAAATTGTACTTGACTTCAGATTATAAGAGATTTGATGATAAATGTTTCAAACGATCAGTGAAAACTTTATAATATGCAGAGAATACCTTATGTCAGCAAGACTGTGAATAAGCCAGAAAATGTTGTTTGACCAGAGCTTATTGATATTTCCAGCTTCCAAATTACATCATGGTCAATTTCATTATCATTTTGGGCTCCAGGTTACAGATTTCATGAGAGCATACGAGTCTGGTGAGACGTCAGGTGACCTATAAGTATGCTCAGTCCAGCCAGTACGTTGAAATTATGACAACAAGTTGAAAATTGTCTCTATCTTCTTGAAATTTACATCTATCGCCTTCCAGCATTAACAGGAACAATAAATCGGCTATAAAAGCCAGGACAATCTTTCCATGAAGATTGTTTCCTCAAATCATCAAAAATGCTTACTCTTTCGCGTCTATAAAAAGCATTTATGAGCAAAATTTACCTAATCTTCCAAATCCAAAGAATGAAGATTGAAAGTACAAGTAAAAGTAAAATAACAGTGAAATAACATAACAGTCTGGCAGAACTCTAATTAGATGTTTCTCACGAGAAATGGTGGATGATCAGAAATTTTATTGAGCGGACATCCACCTACGAGTTTATTCAATGATGGCCAGATGCAGAAATGAACGATTTTCAATCTTTCTTTCTCTTTTCTAGTTGGAAATTCAAATGTCCATGTCATTAAAGTCAAAAAATCATAGTAACCAAATAGCCAGATTCGATTCAACCGTTGCAATAACCGATATCAGGATCAAATGAATAATCGATACGAATCAATACAGATCAATAACAATAAGAAAACGCTGACGGCCTACTACCTAGACATTCTAAAGATATAGCGAAGTTTATCAACCTTGATATGTTACTGTCGCGATCTTGTTCGTTGAAGGTCTGAACGCTGAACTATTCGTTAATGCTACATGGGACAGAGGAACAAAAGAAAAAGAAGAATTAAAATTACAACCTTAACAACTCGTTTGACATTTCATATGAATATTTTCAAAACAAACTGAAATAATTCAAATAATGAACTTTCATCCAGTCAACAAAACATAACATGCTATCAAAATCAATTATGCAAATAATATACAGGATGATCTCCGATGTATGCCAGTGACTCGCAGCTCCATGAAATCTGTAACAGAAATGCTCAAAATATCCTACAAAAGGGATGCATGTTCTCAAAATACATTCAGTGAAAACCAGAGTTGAATTAATTACTCTGAAAAGGCCAGTTGAATACTTGGTACTATCAATATTTCAGAGAAAAAGTAACATTTACTAAAAGTTGATGTTACAATGTCAGTGTCAGTGAATGAGACTCCGAAATGTTTTGTTCATTGACTATACTACTAGGGCAGGAAGAAAATCCCACAATCAACTCCACCAAAACTATACTTCATTCAGAATTGAAACATGTATTGAGGCTTCAAAGCTTCATCATTAGCAAACATTGTTGTTACAGGAAGTAGTTTTCTTGGAAAAATTATATTTCACATGTTGAAAAAGCGAAATACAATTTGAATATCGAAATATCTTCTGAAGTAGTCCATTCTCAAAGTGGAGTGGGATGATATCATGAAGAAAAAACCCAAAGTCGTCTCCTCAAATCTAATAAGGGAATTGCAGTTAGTTTGGCTTCATTACAGTTTCGTGAGACATGTTCCGACCGTTCAAACGGTCATCATTAGTCAAAGCATTTGAAGTAGATCTGTAAAGAAAAATCATTCAAATCCAACATCTACCAACCATGGATACGGAGAGAAGTAGAAAAAAACAAGTTATATAATACCAAAATTTGATGTGAGGTAAATATCAGAAGCAAGTGGATCTCCTTACTCCATACTTTTTGCGCAATTTTGTTCTTCTATAGATAATTAGTTAAAAATTGTTGTTCCTCCATCATCAACACTCAATCTTTCGTAACAAACCTTTGAATGATATTAATCTCAACAATGATGATAATAATTTTCCACTCGCTCCTGATATTCACCTCACATCAAATTTTGGGATTTTTTTTTTGTTTTTTTTTTTCACTTTACTTTGTATCCATGGCTGCTAGATGTTAGGTTTGAATAATTTCTCTTTTTAGATTCACTTTTGATGCTTTGACTGATGATGACCGTTCGAAAGGTCGAAACATGTCAGACGAAACTGTAATGAAGCAGAACTAACTGCATTTCCCTAATTAAATTTGTGGAGACGACTTTGGGTTATTTCTCTATGATATCAGAATATCTTGAGAAATAAAGAGACCGCGTATCACCTGCGAATTTGCGGACAATAAAAGAATTCAATTTCTACTGTGAAAGGTTCGAGCTTGTCCAAACCATTTGTTCTTGAAATATACCATGTTTCTAATATCAAGTAATCGATTCAAAAAATGAAAGTGATATGGGGCAATTACATAATTTGGAATTTACTCACTTGGAGTTGGAGATTCAAGTTGCAAACTAGCAAATTTGTCTGCTGATGCCCATAGTAATCAATATCTGGAGGACTCAGGGCCCTGAGAGCGCGTACTATTGAACATCAAATTCAATATACTGAAATAGTTCTTGTGCTGAACACTTTCCGACAACATCATGATTTGAAAAAAAGGTTTTTCCAAAAATTATGGCCCTGTATCCTCATGAAAGTGCCAACTACAATGCGAAAATCATTCAAATTTATAGTTCAAACAGCAAACATGTGTTTGAATCTGAACTGAATGCTTAAAAACATCGAGGAATGGGGTCAATCGAATGAGATGGACCATATGGAATGTCAACATACGTGCAAGGCATAAAACTTCAGCTAAGATCAACAGCTATTCAATGAATGTCGAGAGATGTGGGGGAGGAGACAAGGAGAGGAGATATGAGCAAATCTGAATAATGAAATATCTCCTTGGTCTGCTTATATCTCCCCTACTTGTATCCTTCTTCCCCTCCTTTCACCAATTTCATCAGATAGTTGTTGATCTCAGCTATTGTTCTCAGTCTTGCCCGCATGTTAGAATTTTATGTTCAAACCTTAGATTTTGACATATGTCAAGGTCTTGTCCATGTCAATGATTTCAATTTTTTTTTATTTTCCTGTTTCCTACCTTGCAGTTCTGATCTCGAAACTTTTACTATAGTTGATCTATTGCATTCATTCAAAATTAGAGTCAATTTACGTTATTTCCAAGTATTTCGTCACATTTGATGAGGCCATTCCACCCTACCAACCACTATAACTTCGAAAAGTGATTTTTTCTTTCATCAATTCAGAGATCAAATATAATGAACCAAAGAATGTGTATAACAAATGATCGAAGTGAGTCTTGGAGACTTTTTCAATCAAATGCAGCACAACCTCATTATCAGCCATGTTTTTATCGGTTCATACTTTAATATACGTTTGCGCACTATCGACCCTCATTCGCTGAGCATCCAAGTGTGTCTAGTTATTTTCAGTTTTCTCATCCTCTCATTTCAAAATTCATGGCGCCCTTGACAACATCCAGTGATAAACAATTATGAGTTTCATTTTTGTTTTCAATTTTGACATCTTTCATCATCATTTCTCTTAACACGTCACAATTCATGAGTTATGTATGATTCGGCTCAATACCTGTATAACTTCAGCTTGAAAATATCAAATATCATTAATATTATTTCATAGTGGAGAATACTGCTCTGTGGAGATGGAGGTGGGATTTAATGAGAAGAACACAAAATTCTACTCAAATGAATATACAATGATGTTCTATTTCGGAACCTTGGTGAAAACTCAAATTCAATATTTAGACCATCAATATGCATTTTACTTGGTTCTTTGGGATTTTCTCTCCTCGTTTCTATGAAATAAAAGTATTCGTATTATTTCAATATATTTGTAGAGGGACAAATCAGATGATTTGCCCCAAAATGTCACTGCGTTTAACAATTTTTTTTATCAGGGAGTCTA